GTTTCACTAACTTAACCATCGGAGTGTTCCCGCCAGGTGGGTCCCCCGGGTTCCTTCATCTTCTCCTTCTCAGGTGTACCTCTTGTCCGTCGCCAGCCAGCTAGGAGCGCAGCCACTGCCAACTAGGAGTGACCAGATCGTGCACCATCAGGAACCAAACCTTAAATTTGGTGAATTGATTTCATAGGATGGCACATGGAACATGTAAGTCTTAAGACAATTGTTCGATGAACCTATAGTTAACATCAATTTACAAATACCTGTTCAAACAACAAGCTCGATGGATTATCTTTTATGGAAAAGCACCTCTGATGGGAATTTCTTAAGCAAAATTTGGTGAATTGGGAGAAACTTTGGTCAGTTCAGGTTCCTTATCATTGCCAAATAGTTGGCTGGAAATTACTCTCTGATATAGTAAGAACAAAGACCACTATATGGAGTTGTAAACAAAAAGGAGATGTGCTATGTCCTCTCTATAGTTCAACAGAAGAAACCCAAAGTTATCTCTTTTTTGACTGTGCCTTTGCAAAGGCAGTGTGGTTACAAGCTCAAGTGGGTTACCACCCAGATGCTTTCCTTCAAGCAAACACTCCAGACTTCTTAACTTGGTGGTCCCAGAAAGTAGAAGGTAATAACTCCTTCAACAAAATGCATCTATCCAGAATTCTGGTTATTCTAAGATGTATATGGGAAGAATGCAATGAGGTGGTCTTTAGAGGAAAGGAACCATGTCCTCTAGAAGTTTCCACTAGAGTGGACAAATACTTCCCTCTAAACTCGAGTTTAATGGGATGACCATGAGCAAGGAATCTCTCTCGTCAAACAATATGGAAATGGTTTCATTGTCCTTCCTAGCCCTATGTAATGGTGGATGGTTCGTGGGACATAAACACACACAAAGCAACAACAAGTCTCTATCTCTATTCTCAACTCTCCAATACTGTTATTGCAGAAGGACAACCCTGCTTGGCCATCTCCCCAAGCAAAGTTGAACTCTGGGCAGTCATTCGAGTCTTAGGGCTATTAATTGGGTAAAATATCAGATCAGCTACACTATTTTCTGATGCTAAATTTGTGCTTGAAGGCATTTGAGGAACCAAAAGAAACATCCCTTGGAATGAACAACATCTTATAGACTACATCGTGAATCTTTTTGATAATATAGTACTAGTCTATGTTTCCAGAGAAGATACTATTGTAGCTCATACCAATGACTAGAAAAGCCAAACTCTGGAACTCTTTAGTTTCTTTACAGTTGCGAATACTGCCTTATCTAGCTGAACAGATATAGCTAACAAGAATTCACTGGTCATGATTATTGATGAACTCCCCTCATTCTCTAAGAGTTTTAATTCACCTCTATCTCTTCTTGGGCATTGTTCAAAGCTTGATATCCTTTGAATGGCTCTCGTTTCTGTTATTGCTTCTAACTTTGACAATCCTCCTTTTTACCTTAATTATATTTCGAATCTAATTCAACTCTTGTGTAAAGATAATTTTGAACCTCACAAAGCCAATTCTTTTATCAAGCAATGTGGGACAAGAGCCTCCTGCATGCAATAAGAGGGAAAGAGAGAGAACACAAAACCAAACAAAGAAGGGAGAGAGGAGATTCTTGAAATTTTGATTCTCCCTCCAACACTCCTCTCTTCAGTGCTTACGACCTCATTACTCGTTTTGAACCTCATCAATGCAAAACCACCTTCTTTTGGCTTCATAGATGCTGATGACTTTGCAGGTGTAGGGAATGTTACAGGTTGGATCTTTCCCGAATTTGCTAATGGTCGCCCATGTGGTTCCAGAAAAAGAAAGAATATGGTATATTTTGAAAATTTAATGAACAATTAAGGTTATTTTTATCTTTTACAGTTTCTCTGTTAGAATTAACCTTTGAAAAGTGATACAGTTAAGTGATTAACCAAAAATAAAACACAAAATGAAGATTTTGCCTTGTTTCTAAAAGACTAACATGAGAGCTTCTAAGAATATTTTTGGAATAAAAAACTTTGAGCCCATGCCTTTTCGCATTATGTATTTGTTCTAAGGGGTCGTCACATTGACATTCCCAAACGAAAGCATAAACGGTTCTTGACCAGAAAGGCCAGTTAAGTACAGCACTTGCAGAGTATAGGGGTGTTCTAGTAATACCCAAAATCATAGGCAGGCTCTAGTGAATATGTGAAACTATAGGGCCGGGCTATTAGAGTAAATGACCCTATAAAAAAAATAGACAGGTGGATAACACTGCAACCTTCTTTACTTCCATAATAAATAGCTAGATCCACTTGTGTTAACAGATGGGGTGGAAATGGACAACAAGGTCCATCTGATGCTAAGCTGTTAGATCTAGTTATGGGCTCCTCTGGATTTAAAATCCAGGCCTAAGGAAAAATGGGGTAGGGTGGGCCTGGAAAATGTCAGCCCATTCCAACCCACCCAACCTTAAGTAATTGTGTAAATATTCTAGTCTGAATGTGCTGGCCCACAATATTTCTTGATTTCACTTTCAGAAGTTGGCCTGAACCTCTGACTCAAGAAATCTGTAAAATATTGGCCGGAACTCCACATTGTGCCTTGTCCATGCTGTGTGTCGTAATGCTTGCAGAACTGTTGTGGTCAGCACATGAGGTAAGGAAGCCTGCTTTTCTGTGGGCAATGCAGTCATTGGCTTGACTTGGACAAAAGGAAATAGAAATGTTGATTACAATCTATGTATAGCAATTGATGAACCATGCATTTGTCTGTGTGCCATTATGGGAGTTGGAACTAAACCATTTCCACAGTCTCTTAATTTCAACTTAAAACTTTCTCCACAAGGGAAAAGATATGCAACTAACTTTGTTTTCTTTTTTCCTGCATTTATGGCGAGATCTAGGAAAGACAATTTTTGAATGGGGGAAGTTTTCAAAAGTAGTTGGGTTGTGTTTGGGTCTTCAAGATTTGTGCTTTCAAAGCACAAAGATAGGTTCTGTGCCTTCATTTTTCTGCTGAAATGTGCTTTTGGGCCTTAGAAGCACAGATCCTAAAGCTTATCCAAGCACAACTTTGATGTTTGATTTCCATTTCTTTTAATTTATATGGTCAAAAGGATATAAATAGAGAACATAAAATTAATAACTTAATAGGATATAAATAAAGGCGAAAGAGATTGACTGGATAAGGCTGAACTTTATTTATTTTCAGGTTGAGGGAGGAAAGAATGAGTCAGGATGTATAATAAATAAAGAAGATTAAACTATATAGCTTTCCTTGGGAGGCACGAAGTCCCATCCCATCTCATATTGTGGAACAGTAGTAACGAAATGATGAAAGCAAACATCACCATGAGAGGTGATGAAGATCATGTCAGCAACTAGTTGCAGTCTTGGTGGGTTTCCTACATCATTTCAATTTTCATGCATCAAAAATCCATGTTCTGTTTGGCATACTTTGAGTTTTATTTTATGAAATTATATTCCTGATGAAAGGTTGCAAGGGACTGTTGGGACAGTGTGAATACGGACTTGCCCTGACCGATATTGTCAATTCCTGTGTGAGAGCTAATAGATTAGCAGTTGGGACATTAATGGTGCCTTTATAAAATAAAGGTCGATTGATGATCACATGCACATCTTCGAATATTTAAAAGTTATTATTCAGGAATCAGGGGAGATGTTTCGAATGCACGGTGGATGTGTCTGTGAGGCGGACACACACCGACAACTAATTTATAAACTATGTCAGGTGAAAAATCAAAAAACATCTAAATGGAATGTCAATTTTGAAGGGATATCACTACAGTCTCTTTGAATAGTTTATCCAGAACCTTCAATTCAATTCAAGGCAACCAAACCAGCTCAACTGAATCTTCAGCACAGCCCTCCCAAATATAATTATTTGAACCTTCAATTCAGTGGGTTTTGGTTTGATGATAAGAGGCAATTCCATAATGAATGAAGTGGGCGAACTAAGAGTTTGACTATTAGTGGACATAATAATTAAGTAATAAAATATTCCGATAATTCATCCAATTTCAACTTCCACGGTTCCACCATTAAAATTACTTTTTTATTTACTCAGCTGCTGTATTTTAGGGTACTTAAACTACTACTCAAAAGTCCATTTACCCTTTTATTTTCACTTATTAATTGACAAACATTTTCTGCTATAACATTAAAGATGGGAATAAAAGTTGAAAGGGGGTTAAGAAAAATATGTAAAACAGAAAGGTAGGGTGATTAACTGCTTTTAGTTTAATTTTGAGGCTTATTATTATTTTATTCTCAATTTCATTTTGTGGTCCAGGAGGATAGAATTTCTTTGATAAACCTGAGGGTTGATTTAAATATTTGACAATAACCCCAAATAAATTTACATAGTTTACCCTAAAATTTAAAAATTAAAGCACAACTTTGGGTTATCTACATGTAGCAACCTCCAAAGTGCTTTTAGTTTTAAGGTAAAAATCTTTGTTACAAAAAGAAGCTCGAATTCCTTTTACTGCCTTTTTCTTTTCTTTCTCCCTTTATGTATTCTCTTTTTCTGTTGGTTAGAGCATCTTTCAAACAGGCTGCCTGTAGCACATATTCACAGGCCAAATTCGAGACACAATGAATGACTGTAGCTGTTTGTGCTTGATAAAGTGGTGGGCCACTGGGCCCTCCATACTGCGTCCAGTATAAGCTATTTTGTCAATTTAGTTGTACCCATTAATACCAATCTTGTATCCCATGGCTACAAGGTTGACAAATGCACAGATAACTGGACCCACCTAACCATTCATTAGCTCGTTACCTACACAAGAAAAAACAAGATGCCTGGATAGGAATAAGATGCCCAGAGCAATAACTCCAAAGAAAGAGCCCTTGATGGTTGGATTTGCACAGAGCTAAATTATGCTGATATCATCAGCTGAGGGTTGCAAGAAGATTCAAATTCAAGGATTCAGATTGGACCAGTTAGGATGGGCCCTACCAAATTATTTGCCAACAAAAGGGAATAAAAAAGGGAGACAAAGGAAGAATAAGAACAAGAGAGAAGCTACTACTAAAAAAATTTGAACAGTGTAGAAAAGCCAAGCATGTCCCATCTTCCAATTACATTGCTATTCAAATCAAAAGCTGCTCTAAAGAAATCAAAAGAAAACCACTCAGAAATAAAAGCATTCCTTAGAATCTACATTTCTATCATCTGTGAACCAACAAAGCTTTCACAATCCACAAACAGGCAGGCAGCAGCTTTCCCTTTCACCTGGAAGCCAGCTCTCTAAAAAGAAATTAGGGTTTAGTCACTGGTATCCCCTTTACAACTGTGACCGGACATGTTGCATTTGTCACCACATAGTTGCTTACACTTCCAAGCAAAACCCTGCATCACAAATCAGAATTAATATGATTCCACTAATTAATCATATAATCTCAATCAAGGAAATGGGGCACCATTCAGAGAGGAACCCTCTAAACCCCAAAAGAAAACCCGACTACCCGACTGTTATGGTTTGTTGGATCAATCAATGAAATGAGAAAAATACTGCAAAGAGAGCCGGGTTTAGAGATGGATTCTTCACCCCGAAAGTACATAACAATGGCCCAAATTAAGGATGAAAGAGAAGAAGATAATAGTGGAACAGAAACCTTTTAATTGCCCCTAATCCCCTGCTTCCAACCACAAGCGAGTCAAGCTTGAGACCTTCAACTGCATCTAACAGCTTCTCCCTTGGATCACCCCAGTAGACCTTGCAAAGCACTGTAGCCTGTTTATAGACAAGAACATCATTACATCAGAATATCATAGTTTACACACACACACACAGAGGATTAATGGTTAAATTTAAATACCCCTTCAGCTGCTGAGGCAGAATCAAGAAGATCAAGAACATCAGGATCCCGAGTAAGTCCATACTGCTTTGACAAATTCATCTCTTTAAACTCCCCCAGAGGAATCAAAGCTGAAAACCCAGAAAACAACAAATTAATAAATAACATCAGAAGTTCATAACAAAGAAGAAAAGAAGCTTAGAATTATTTGAAATTCTGAAAAAGAAAAGAAAGAACAAAGTAGCTACGTGATCCAGTTTCTTCCCAAAGCTTCTTTTGGGCAGGATCAGACTTAGGAGACTGCACATGGATTACGACAAGTTTGTCTCCATTCTCCACCAGATTATCCACAGCCCACTTGAGGGCTGTCTTGCTGCTCGGAGAGTAGTCCATTCCTATCCCAATTGTACGTGCCTTCGCCATTTCTCTCTCTCTCTCTCTAGTTCTTCTCTTCTTCTCTTGTTAGTTGTTATGGGAGCTCTGAAACTTGGATTTCTTGTGCGCAAAGAGATATAGGCGAGAAGGGTTGAATTTTAGTAATGGGTTGCATGCCAACTCACCTCCTAGCCTTCTAGATCTTTTTAATTCCCTCTTGGCTTTTTGGGCATCAAAGCAGTGATCCAATGAGTGAACTACGCTGTTTAATTTTGATTTCAAGCCGTTCGATTGGTGTGGAAAGGAGCATACCTGCCACAGTGTAAAATATATTCCAGTTTGAAGATATAGATTTTTAGAGATATTCTCCCTAAGTTGAGCCTCCAATATTTAATCAAAGTCGCTAAATCAATTCTTCCCACTTCTGGATTCTTTATTTATTATACTTTCCAATTTCCATGAATGGCTGCTTTGAATTTATTTGGCAAGACAACAAGGCAGAAGGATATTTTATAATTTCTATCCGGTCACTGAAGCCTATAGAGGTGAGGATTCTTTTGCCACGTGGATGACTGAGTTGACAGATCACATGCCTCACTTGATAAGGGGCCCATTGGTTAGCCACGTCTATGAACTGCCCTAATCTTAGATAAACTTCATATCCCATCATTTGTTGCAGTTAATGGACCTTAACCTTGTTGATTTTCTGTGTAACATAGTGAAAAGAATCAGAATCCTTGTTATATCACTATCACTTATTAATTAATAGAAACTATCACTATTGCTGAATCAGAATCCTTGTGAATTGTATCAAGACATTCTTAGAGTCTTGGTTAAGAAATGAGGGTTTCACGTTTTCATGGGCAAGTTTGAAGTTTGAAGAGTTCATGCATATCAAAGGACTTGGAGCTGTGTGTGCATCTCGCGTGGTACCACTACCGCCCATAGTTTGACAAAAGGGAGGAACGAAACAAGCAATCACTTTCTGCGTTTATGGGTTAATCTGCCATGGATCTGTTAGTTGAGTCGTTTAGAAAAGCCCACATGACCCAGATGGCCCAAAGTGGTCCCTTAACACCCTTAAAGCCCTTTCCAAATGCCACTTGAGGAATGGGGTATGAACACTTGCCACCTGGCCAATCTGGGCAGTCCCCAATTTGATCAGTGGTTAGGATTGGCCATGTCACCTTCCACATAGGGGAATCTAATGGGTTTATCTAGGAAAGAAGCCTAATCGACCCAACTAGAATATTTTTCCATTTAAAAATGTCTTTAGGTACTATTGGTGATAGTACATTAGATAAGGTTTAGTGTTGTTACAGGTAGGATTAAGGTCAGAATTCCCATAATGATGAGCACTAGTCTGGATACGGTTGAATAAACAATGGGGTCATATGGGTCAAATCCTTTCTTTATCCAGTACATCGAATGATGCCAACTTGTACAGACATTCCTAAATAAGATAATACCAAAGTTTGGCATTGTCTTAATATTGTTGGCAGAGGCTCTTCAACACATTTGGCTGATGTCAAACTCAACAAGAGGGAAAAAGAAAATCGTTTTAGCATCTGAGAGAGGAAGGGTCATTGAGAGTTGTGGGTTTTTTCATCTCCTTTTGCCTGTTAATTGTGAAATATATCATATATGAAGGGAGCTCTTTTAAAACGTAATTTGGAATTCTCGGTACTTTGCTTCAAACTTTTTGTATGAGTATGACGCTTTCATTGAACATTTTTGCTTTTTTATTAAAGTGGGTTCTTGTTCGATTTTAAAGTATTGAGCAAAAGCCCATTTGACCATATCTACTCTTCTTTTTTTATAGAGATTCGGGTTAAAGGAAAGCCCACCCCTTCAACAGGCCTTTGAGATTAGTTCAGGCCCAGTGTGCATGCTCATTTGAGTTCAACTTCATCACTGGATTATTGGATTATAATTAACCCAATAATGAACCCCAGGCAGATGATTGATTTGCTAAGATTGAGTTTGGAAGGAGTACAAATACAAATATGTAGAGTGCAAAACCTTGTATTTTGTATATATTTGCATTGTACATATTTGTATTTGTATTCCTTCCAAACTCAGCCTAAACTCTTTGAAAGGGAGTACAAATGGGATTCTTTCTTCATCACTGGATTATTATTATTGACTGACCCAAGAATAAACAAATTTGGATTTCTACGTGCATTACATATTCCAAATGCTTATTTATTCCTTTTTCTCGGGAAAGAGCTCATAATAGCACAAGGGCTACATAATTTTTCTTTATTATTAATACATTATGATGCCTGAACCCATCTGGGTAGGCTGAAACTTTGATTGAACTGCTTCCGATGAGCTAGAAAAGCTACAGCTTGTGGGGGTTTTTTTAGGATAAATCTCTTAAGTTATCCTTATTGTTTATATATTGTCTTAAATTATCCTTAAGTTTTCTGACAATTGTTAAAAACCTCCCCTACCGTTAGTTGATCATCGTACTCCATTTGCATGTGATACCCCGTGATTGATAATGTTGTCTATAATTCTTAAAATACCCTTTTATAGTAAAAAATGTCCTTTTCATTTCAGCTCGGGCTTGCCGGCTTGGTCAGCACTGGACCGTTTCTTGAAGTAGGGCTCATCACCAACGCCCTCTTACTCATCACCAAAACTGGACCGTTGTTTGTCAAAGTCAGCACTGTTGGTTTGCACTAGATGTTTTCTTGCAGTAGGGTTTGTCACCGGCGTTCTCTTACTCGTATTTCCATTATTTGTTAGCATCAGCACTATCGTTGGTGACCCATTTGTAACCGGTGGTGAATTTTGGAACTGCGATGTGAGGGAGGATACAGGAGAATGGCGATGACCCATGGCATTGTGGTGTGGGGGAGGATAAAGGAAAACGGTCGTGACCCATGGCACTGTGGTTCGAATAGATGTAGTCATTGACTGACATCTGTTCGAAGAAATGCCTAGCCCCCCTATGTCATATGCAAGCCCCCCAGCCCCCCACCCCACAAGCGGCCCTCGCCTCCCCATCCCGCAGGCAACCCCCTCTCCCATCAGCCCACACGTCCAACTCCCCCTCTTGTCACAC